ATATATATAAAGAGCTTTGAGAGAAACTAGGAGAGGTTGGAAACACAACAAAAGGAAGCAGATTTTTAAAACATTGAAAAATAAGATCAATTTTTAACATTAGCTAAATCAAAACACACTGTCTTTATTTACATGTATTATAAATACAGAGAAGACCTTGGGCTTTTATTATAGAAACTTTATTACATGTCTAACTTCATAATCCCAGCTTAGCTCTGATATACTTCAACACACAAACATCAACCTGTTTTCTTCAGGAATATGAAGGGCCATGAACTGCAAGGGATTCAGGCACTGTATCATCCAGCCTTGACGTTCACTGATCCGAGAGACATCAACCTTCAAGAAGTGGTTTGGCACTCTGCTCCAAAGCACATGAGTCAGAAATTGGACATGGAGACGTGGAGGACATTGAGAGACTGGGTTTTTGTGTTCGCTTTTAAATAAGCCAGCAGATAATGGCATTACATTCTGGAAAATTCCAACAGAAGAGACAGTCAGTCTCATCATTTTTGCCAAACAATGAATATATGGTATTTTTCAAGAAATATATTCAACGTATAGTGAAGTACAGTGCAACAGGAAATTAGCATTTTCAGTAATTTGTAAAATCAGCTGGGAACTGCTGATGGATTAGCAGCAAGACAGCATTGTCCATAACAGATGTTTTAAAATAGCTAAATTTGAAATAGAAAATTGAATTGAATGTGTGGTCACTTCCTTGGACCAGAGATCTGAACTCCACTCGTCTTTTATATCATCTGATTTCTTAGACATCCACATATCCAAAGCAAGGAAGCAAATTCAGCTCAGTTTTCTTGAGTGTACTGTTTGAACGTACTTTAAAATTATTTTAAAACCCTAACCTAATTTGCAGATACACTGGTTTTCCATGTTCTGTTCGTAGAATAAGAGATTTGTCTTACTGACCCCAGTGATTTCATTTCATCATGAAGGATGAGATTCAGAAAATTCAATGGGATTTTGCAATATCCTCTGCCAATTCTAATCAGTTACGATCCTTTACATCCAATGTACTGTATTTTAAATACAGTAAATACAGTAAATACAAAGTATTTAAAACTGATTTAAGAAAAAAAAATGGCAATAGTGCAAGCCCTTGGAATCATAAAAACGTGCCCAATACAATTGCAGGCAACAAATGACAAAGAAAAATAATTTATTTGATATATTAGTCCTAAACCTGCACAAACCCAAACATTATTTACCTTTATTCTTCCCAACTCAAACTGGAAAACATTGGGGCTTGTAGCTTGAGCAAATACAGCAGGAAATAACTTTGTACTCGGTTCAACCTAAATCAAAGATGCACAAATATATAACCATTGAAGACAGCAAAACACTCTTACACATTAAAAAAACCACCAACCCTAATATCTGTATTGACAGTCAATAAGCCTTTGAATAAAACCCCAGAAAATCCAAATAGGAGGGAGGGAAAAAAAAAAATCAGTCATCACAGCGACAATTACTTTTTTTTCCGGTCTTGTACAAAAGTTTCTAATAAGATGCAGTCTGAGGATTTGGTTTTCCCCCTTCCCACTGGAAGTTATCATAAAAAAATACTCACCTGATAGTACGTGCCTAGTTCCTTGCCATTAGCTGTGAAGGTCAGCAGGCCACTGGCAGCATCAACCAAGCAACCAATCTCCAGACCATTATTATTACGTCCTTGTCCAGGGCTCATACTCTCTCCTGCGCACACCATATAGCAGTTGCTGCGTTTTATACTGAATGTCAAAAGACAAATTTATTTATGGATGGTGTGTAAATTTTCTGTAGTGGACTAAGAACAACTTTGTATGGCTGCAACCAACAAGGTCTTGTGGCTGAAAACTGCGGATCTCACCACAACCAATACCAAAATTCAATGAAACATAGACTTTATAGTTGAAAAAATAAAAACTGAAGATCATAAAATATGAACAAGCTCAAATCCTTGGTAAAATTCTGACTTTACAAGTTAATGTTTTAAATCATTTAATGTTAAGCTGTTGTACTAATTTTGGCCTGCTCAAAAATTAGTTCCAAAAATACTAGAAGGTATTTTGCTCAACTTTGTACCAGATCAGAAGTCATTATTTACAGGATCATGATCTGAAACTATATAGAAAAGCTGTGCTATTTTACTTTTCAGTGCCTATTGATCTGATTAGATCATTACTCCACTGTTTCTTCACAAGCAAGAGGAGAGAATAAGTAAAGTTACACTTTTTTCTATTACTTTTTTTCCCCCATCAACCCAATTACATTACATCATGTGGATTTAAAGTTTATAAACTGTTAGTTGCTTTTATGGGTATAAAATATGCATCTTTTTAAGAAAATTGTAACCAACCTTTCATGAACCTTCCCTTTTTCATCTCCCAGTGTAACTGTGACAGTACGAACTCTGTCCAAGTCAAAGCTTGTATCATACTGGTGAAAGTCAGATGTAATCCAGCCCACCCAGACATTAGCAGGTTCTTGACCAGGAAATATTCTCACTGAATAATAGTACTGTCAATTAAAAAAATAGTGTCAGTAAATGTTAGTATTTGGTTTCCAGTGCATCAGTTTGATTCAGAATTAATTTGTTGCTCTAAAATCTGAAAATGTGTCATCTCTTCAAAAGTAGCTTGTTCAAGTGCAATTCATAAGCAAAGCAACAAAAGAATATAAACACAAATCAAAATACGGCCAACAAAATATGTATGTTAAAACAAAAAATGGAAAATATTAACAATGCGCCATATACGCTTGTATTGTAGACATCTGCATCATAGCATTGTAGGCTATTCTTGTACTGCAGCTACAATTTTTATACTGTAGGTGACTCAGTTTCTGATATTTACTATCTTTTGGAAAGAGGAGAATACATCCAAAAGAGTATTTTTTCCATTGAACATTGAAGAATGAGTGTTTATGGAGCTGATCTTTTCAGAGAAAGATGCATAAAACTTTCACTGGGAATTCCGTGAAATAAATGCTGAGTAAAATTAGTATAGATGTTTTCAAATGGTCCTGAACATTGACCTATTAGTTTAATGAACTTTTCCCTATTTATTTTGTTAATCTACATTTATTTATTCTTCCTCTTTTATGTTCAGTGTTATCAATAGTAGTTTCAAAAATGGATTCAATTAGTTTATGGCTTTCCATGTGGCAATCGGTTGAGACTGACAGTCAAGTCAAAACAAAAGGAACATAGTGGTCTCAACTTCAGTAGTACAAGATGACCATAGACATTTAAATTAAAATTTTTGCGTGAAAATTACACTGTTTCTGAAACTCTTACAAGCAAAAACATGCAGTTATTTAAAAAAAAAAAAAAAATGGCAAACAGCTAAAATATCAGTCCTATGTTACAATACCGTGGAAGTTTGCATCAAATAGTCATAGTCATCCCTATCATCTGCTAGCACATCCTCAGTAAGCCGTGCAGAGTGACTCATGCTATAATCTGGCTTTGTCCTTCTGAGCATAAATCTGTAATAAAATAAGTAAAATCAAAATCTATATGAAAACCTCAATATATCAAAATATACACAAAGGAATTTTACATTGATACATTATCCCTAAATACATGTTATTTATTACACTAGCCCTAAATACATAGTATTTATTACATTATTAATACATAACACCAGTTTATTATGTCCATGTATATTAAAACAAAATAAATTCTTCAGAAAAGAGAAAGAGACAAGCTTATTTTTAAAAGCACTTAAATGAATTCTGAGCTTAAACTATGTATTCAAAAGTTACTTGGAAACTACACTCACATAACATAAAAAAATTCTCAGGCTGTTAAACACCTATGTCACTTTGGAAGAACATAGAACCTTAAATGACCTTCATGCATTTAAAAATACCATCCATATGCCCTGATTTATTCTGCAATTGAAATATTTAACAAACCAAGTTTGGTAAAGAAGAGCGGAAAAGGAATGGAAAGTTGAGTAATATTGTCTGGGTAATGGCTCAGTGTTTGCATCTCCACAGCATCATCAGGTTAGGTGTTCTGCTCCTGATTCCATAAGAAAAATTAGGGAGAATGAATGCGTCAAGTAGAGAATATTCTTATGATTGTTTGGTTCACTGAGGGAGATAAGAAGCTAGTATACATTTCTAGATAAAGATTATCTAACACCTTCAGCTTTTTGGAAGCCATGTGAAAAAACATTCCATGTCACTTTGAAGACTTCCTAGTTATCTCAGAATGGATGTCCCTAGTTTTAGAGTGCACTTCACATGATGATCACAAAAGGCTTCACAATAAACCAAATTACAGGTTTCTAATAGCTTGAAAAATGTTTTCAGTTTTCTGTTTAATTGTAATCTATATATTGCATGTGATGTAATTTAATCACATGAAGGCTAACTGTCCTGCCTACTGTGTTATATCCAAATCTAGGGCAGAATTAGGGAAAAATCTCTGCAGACCTGACTGGCATTTTCTTCTACTATTCAAGAAACGGGGGGGGGGGGAAGGCAAGCCAAATGTGCTACTAACCTTTGTTTAAGACGTGAAGGCTTTTCTTGAACATAATCTTTATGGTTGTTTAACTCTGGTTTTGTGGCCTCTTTTTCTCTTTCTGTCCGGTCGGGAACTAGATGACCATGAGCAGTTTTCATTAGGACCTCAAAATCAGAATCAGCATCATAATCCTCCAAGTCATTCTTCGGGCCAAAAACACCAGAGCCTGGTAACCCTCCAGCAGCTGATCTGGAGAACACCTCAGCACATTCAATGGGCATGCTTAATCGAAAAAACATGACGTCTGTTTTACTGTTCTGTGAACCAAAGGACTTCTGTGTGACCTTCAGGCAGGGGCAGCTGTCTATGGTGCCATCAATTCTCATCACCTATCAAATGTAAAGATGTAGTTGTTTTGAAGCTGATGCTTTTCCCCTCCTTGTAAATATTCAATTTCTATTTCCAGAATAGGCATCCATGACTTGCAAAACTTGCAACAGTACGCTGTCAACGGTCAAATGTATTGTAATCATGTGCTGCCATTTTAAGGGGAAATAAATACTATCAGGAGTGGAGATTTTTGTTGTTCCATTGTTAAATAAAAAAACCACTCATGAGGAACAACCTTCCTCATAACTCTTGACAACATAAATCCAACCCTGCCCAGAACAACACAAACCAACCAATATAAATCATACATGTACATATGCAAGAACATATATTATTGCTTAAATACTACAGGGTGATATACATAAGCTGAAAAAAGAGTTCTTATTTCATCAATTTCAGAAGGATTTCATGGTAGATTTACAAGGCATGAATTCAGTTCCATCAAGATGCACAACTGATTGGAACATAAGTGTTGGCACAACTGGCTAATAAATATTTATTAAAATGAAAACCAATTAGTTATGGAAAAATTACTTCAAAAAGTGTGTGCACCAGAACACATGGTATCTGTTATGTAGAAATGCCCAATTTCTGGAAGTTGTTTACAAACATGTCTCACTGCGAGTGAGTTATTAATGAGGACATCTTGCAGAATTTGTATTTGAGAATCTCATGTTTACACACATGACAGATTTCATGGATAAAGAAATACTGTCAACCAAATAACTACATTATTTGCAACTCCATTGAATGTAGGACATTTTTAACAGGTGCAGGGTTCATCCAGAATTGGGTCAACATATCACATTAAAAATCTTGTCTAGAAGTGCAAAAGTAGAGACATAATTCAAACATATTCATGGAAGAAGCATGTAGAAATATTTTAATAGGATCACAAACCTCAATATGCTCATGATTTTGTGGCACTGGTAGAAACTGAGGGAGTCTTTTACTCAGCCAAATGGTTATGTCTCTGTTTGTATTAACAGCAAAGGGTTCATACCCTTCCTGTAAGCCACAGATAGTGAAATATTTTAGAGTGCTGACATCCTTTCCAAAGTTCATTCTTCCCACTTGAGATGGGCCCAGGCTGCACACAGGTAGAAATCCTTAAAACAAGATGAAAGAACACATAGGTTGTACATCATGAACATCAGAGAACTGCTCTCTTCCATAACCAAATTAAAAATTATTTGGAAAAAAAATAACAATAAAAAAAAAATCCAAAACCCAAATGGTATAAATGCAAGCAGTCATCAACAGCACATCACCTCTTGCGTATCACTGAGTACTGTATATCAACTATCATTCTGAAATAAAAAGCTCTCTAATAGCCATGGATATCTTCATACAACACTCAATTTACTTCACAGAAATCTAAGAGTACTTGAAGGAGTCTGACAAACAGCTCTTGGTTAATCTCTCTGCTAAACTGGTAGAGTGTTGCCAATTTTACTCCAAGTCTTACTACCTTTGTTATTCCTCCTAAAATTCCATTAGACATGGTATTATGAGAGAACCTCTAAAACTACTATAAAAGTAATGTAGTGCTTGTCCATGCAGCTATAGTAGTGAAAAAAATTACAAATATGCACCAAATGCACACTGTAGATTGAAATAAAATTTAAAATTAATTACTTCTAAAAATTCATAACAATTTGTTGCTCTGGATAATGAAAACTGGTAATATGATATTGTAGCTTCAGGAAACTTACAATAGTTCAGGTTTGGGCTGGGTTTTTTGTTTTTGTTTTTGAATTAACTTCACATTTGTATGCATCTGCTCTCTTACTCTTTCAATAGCACAGAGAACTCACTTGTGACTCCTTTGCATTTTTTATAAAAAAAAATGTTTTGTTCTGTTTTTTTTCCTCAGGCTTAGCATCACAGTCTAAAAACTTAAGAAAATCTCTTATTTCTTCTGTTCCTTTTCATCCTGATTTTAGATTTCCACAGCTATAAATTGCTTTGTAGATTCATTTGACTTATCTGTTAACAAAATGTTTTCTTTTATATCAACAAGAAACATGAAGCTCTGTTCAATGATTCTGATTCAAGTGAATGTACCAGGTATTGAAGGGTCTAAGCATAAAATACAACTCATTCCTCACTTTTCTTTAGGCTGCCCAGATAAAAAAAAGGGCAGACTATTTGTTCATGATACGTTCTTTAGAGACAAAAGCAAACTGCAGAGCACTATCTACAGGAACAACTGCTCATCAGATAAAAGAGCAGCCTTCACTACTACCTTTTGAAGATTTTATTACAGATACATATGATAACAAATCCTGTGTATGTGTATTAGGCACAATAAATTTAAGGACATACACTACTAATCATAAGTTCAAGTCCAGATTTTTATCTTCACATCAAGGCTCTCAAATCACAAGTCATCAACTTCTCAGATAACATAGAAAATTTAGACACCAGGATTTATGTCCATTCTGCTAGAATTGACAGACAATAATAATGAGTATTTTCCAGAACTAAATGAGACAAAAAAGCATTATTACAACACATAACTAGGAAAATTGTATTTGCATATATAGATATATGCTGTGGTAAAGCCTAGCCGCTTTAGTAGGGAGAACTTACTATGCTCCCTGTTGAGTTAAAGGAATCTATAAGCTGTTGCAAAAGGTTTTAAGCAAAGCCAAATATAAAAATTTTATTTTCAGATCAACTTTATAAATCTCAGCTCATCACTCACGAAGAGTAACAACCTTCTACAAACATCAAGTTGTTTGAAATGGGTTTTCACAGAAACAGTTGTGACAGCATGAATCCTCACAATATTAACCAAAAATGACATAAGATTGGCTATAAACCACATAGATATATGCAGCCTAAAGCATATGCTTTGTCTGTCTGAATCACCTCACCATTTAATTTCCAATTCTTATTGATGTAAAACATTTTCAGATGTTTCCAGGATGTATGGAACCCACATTCAGAATCTTGTGAAGAGTTTTGCTTTCCACATCTCAGAAAGGATATAATAGATCTGAAAATGGCCAACACGAATGAAACTGCTTTCTTATCACAACAATTAGCAAAATTAGGACACTTCAGCCTAAAAAAAAATTATTACAGAGTATGATACATAACCTCATTATGAGTGGCAGAGAGAAGATGACCAGTACATGATTTTTCAATGTCTTTCATAACAAAAATTATGATCAAAACTGTTTGGTAGCAAGCTTCAAAACAAAGGAAGGAACTTCCTTATACAGTTCACAGTAATGCTGTGGAATTCTCTTTCACATAGCATCATGGATGATAAAAGCTCCCATTGATTCAAAAAATGTTTAGAGACTTTCATGTGAGAAAGAAAAAAACAAAACCAAAACCAAAACCAATAACCAACAAACAAACCACCCGGACTATTCAACACAAACATCATGTTTGCCTCAGAAAGCTCCTGAGCCAGAAATCACTGGAGGCTGGGTGACTGTATCACTATCTGCTTATCTTGTTCTGACATGTATTCACAGGCATTTGCTACCCACTGCTCTTGAAAACAAAATAATGACCTAACTAGACTTTTGGCACAAACACTGTCATATTTTCATAGAAAACACAGAGGAACAAAAGCTTCAAAAAAAAGTGTTCAAAGACAAGGGGCTGTAAACTGATCAGTTTTGAACTTATCATATCTATCTATAAATGTATGTCTATATTTATGTATTTATTTATATATGAACATTTTTTTATGTTTCTGCACAGGTCGAATATTTCATGAAAGGAAGCAGCAAGGTCTATCTCCAGCACCTTGAGAATTAACACACAGGCAGTTCCTCTTTATTACAGCCCTCAAATCAAATGGGAAATAATTGTTTTACAAAACAAAAAAAGCAATAGCAGCTGATGTTATCAGTAAGCATACATTACAGAAAAAGCTGTTTAGATGATTAGATGTGGACCAAAATCCAAGAAAACACTACTGACTCTATTCATGAAGGCTGAAATGTATACATGACACAAAATTAAATCAAAACAGGAATATTTAAAATATGAAAAAATATTTTAAATGTTACTAATATTTACTCTTCCTGAATAGAATGCACATAAACTGTTAATTTTTCTATCTATGCATTTTCCTGTGGACTCAGAAAAAAAGATGTCACAGATAGATTCATTCTTAGATGTGAAGCAAATATTTTACACACACACATACACACACATATATAAAATGCAAATGAGTATTTGCAAGATCCCTGAAAGAAAACAAAGAAACTCAGAACACAGGTAAAACTCTCATTCATGTTTTACTCAATTTAGTATTTTCTGTCAACCCTGTAACTACAGCCAATATGGAATACAGACAACAATTTCTCTCACTCATACAAATTTCATTGGTGTCAGAGAAGTACTGTACATGTAGCTAACTCCCACAAGTACTCATAACTATACAGTAACTGTTGCTCTGTATGAATGGAATATAAATACCATCATGGAAGTCCTAATCATGGAAGTACTACTTCCATCTCCGGTGAAATTCTGCACTGATTTGCCAATGGTTTATTGTCATTAAGGTGTTTCAGAGCTCTTCTATATCTGATAAAGATATGGCATCTCATCTTATATGGAGGGAGTGTGCTGGTGAGGCAGTTACATGACTTACTATGGAATAAAAACTTTCAGTACCCTTCTCTAAATGGGTATCCAGCCATCTTAGATGCGATACTTCACAGATCCTGTGTAGCTCTTGCATGCTGGAGGCTACATGAAAAGATGATTTACCTATGACCTAGCTCTTAATCTCCAGGTGCATAACTGGGCTATGGAGCAAAACTTTTATTTTACTTCATGAAATAGCAAAACAAGTAGAAAGACTTTAACACTACCACCAGAAAAGTAACCTTCTAGCATTGTCTGGCACACATGGCAAAAGCATAGGACAGCAACACTTTTTATAATGTTCCCTACTTTCGAGAATACAAGATGAACCTCCTGACCTAATTTGTCAAACACTTACTATAAATAGTTCATGCTCACAGAGACCATGAGTTGACAAAACAAAATTTGGTTTGCATAATATATTTGTTCATATCTACAGTGTGAAATTTCCTCTTACACAAATGCATAATAATATGCAATTATGTTAAACAATTTTACTGGTGAGACAGTATCACAAATAAATTAGTCCGCCATAATCACAAGGAGCTCCTCTTGTTGGCAGTACAACCAAAGATGCAGCACATGACCTTTATTAGTAAACTGGCAGAGCGCCATATTCCCTTTTCACTGTTCCCAAGTAAATTAAAACTACAGGACTGATTTATAGTCAGATTGCATCCCTCAAAGCAGGACAGTGGGTTCTGACCAGAAATTCTATCTCTTCTCTAAAGCAAAAGCCCTCTTTCTGCAGCAGCACATGGCATGCACACAGTTCACTGATAGAAGTGACCTGCAGAAAGGCCTCAATGCTCTTAAGTGAGAGCTGTTAACAAAACTGAACTAAAGTCAGCCTACAAAAACCCAAAAACTCTATAAAAGTCGTATTTAATTTGGGCATTTCATATGTGTGTTTGTATATACACACACATACATATAGATGCTCCCCTACCCCCCCGAACTGTATATTAAATATCCATATTATTTACAAATACTGTTATTAAATTTGAGATCAATCAGCACATTCCTTTGAAATCACAATAGGAGATCTTACTTCAAAGGCAAGCTCTTTTCTACAAACACAACACTAGAAGAACTTAATGTGAATTAAAAAGATATTGTGAAAAATCTGACAGGCCTGACACTGACATTAAGTCTGTGACATGGTTCCAAGGCCTTCAGTCTCCATGACAACCTGGCAACTACTTTAGCAGTTTCAGACTCAATAGCTACCTCTTTAAATCTGAAGCTGCAGCTAGAAACAAGTACCACGAAAACTACACCACTGTGATTTCATCAACTTTGAAATCAAAACAGTGATCAAACAGGCTACCCTTAGAATTTCATGGAATTCCAGTTTCTGTCAGAACCCCCACTCCTCAAAGGGATTATACTGCCTAGTAACTGGAAAATCATTATAACTTAATGACACCAGGATAATTTTATGCCTATACCACTAACAGTAAGACAATTCACCCTTCCCTTTCCCTCATTATGTATGCCTCACAGTATTTAAGGAAATCTGAAGGCAGTAAAGTAACAGGCCTGAGTCTAGAAAATTGGTGGCAATTATGTCATTTTAAATGAAATCAAATTATTCCTAATTTGTACGGTATGGTATAAGAATGGGGGGAAAAAAAAAATTAAAAAATTCTTGTCTCAAAGCACTCCTGAAAGTAAAACACTCTGAAGTCCAGATGAAAGTAAAGTGGTTAAAATTCAAGCAGGGAACTGCCTACTTAAGAGGTATAAGATTCATACTTCCCCTAGGAATAGGGATCAGTAACCCAAAAGTATCATTTGCAGCTTTTACTGTTAAAAAAAAAATAACTTTCTCTCTCAGACATAGAGGTATTATTTAACAGATGTATAATATATATGAAAGAATATATGTACCTACAACAAATGAAAGGGAAAGATTAAAGCTTGAAACACCTTTTTTTTTTTTTACGTTACCATAGTTCAGAAATTTTAGGCAGTTATCTACATTAATGCAATTTCTTACCCTTTTATGTACCTATTTGCATGCAAGTATGTAATTAAATTTATAAACAAAACCACTTTTGTGTTATAGAATCAATCTGGCACCTGACACAACCTCACAATCTTTGCCATCTTTTGCAATCTCGTAAGCTATGGCTTCATGGTAAACTAAAACTCGCTTGTGGACTCTGAACGCTGCACCAAGAACACTACAACAACAGGCACAAAATTCAATCTTCTGGTTTAGAATTAAGTAAAAAATTTTGGAGGCTAACTTTGTACCAGCTGGCTTTATCCTGGATCAGGTGTCATTTCTCCTCCCCAAGCTAACACAAAACCTTAAAGCTGGCTTAAACTCCCTGCCATATGTTCTCACTAATCTGACAGAAATTTGGTAGCATTTTAGTAACTAATCTAGATAAAATTTGATGTCGCTGCCCATGGCGGGGGGTCGAACTAGATGAACTTCAAAGATCCCTTCCAAACCAACCCATTCTATGATTCATTCTATGATTCTCTTATATCCTATGATGACCCTCCGCAGTGCAGATGAAATGTTAAAGGTCATGAATTTGCAACTCCAGACACATGCCTGCAAAATAGTCAAAAGGTCTGATCACAGTAGATGGCTACAAAGTTCATCATTGTGTTGGTTTTGCGTGGCAAGGTTT